CCCCCCCCCCCACCCCGCAATCTCATTATGCCTTGGAGAGTGAAATCATGTGTTTTCGGCAATGTAACTCGTTTATGATAGTGGTCTTCCAATGTCTCAGGATATTCTTGGCTTTTCCTGAGCTGAGCAGAGGCACAGCTCCCGGAGTGTGGCTAAGTGGAGCCCCAGCCTGCTAGTCTGTGTGAACCTGGGATGCAGAAATGTCCCAGATTCCAGGCGCTCTCTGAGATCCAGCCCCTGGCGTCCTGTAGACCAAAGGGCTCTGCAGAGCTGGGAAAAGCCGCCAGGTGCGGTCGCACGGAGAGGGCACTCTTTAAGGATAACGGAGTCAGAGAGCCTGCCTTCCTGATTCTTTCTTCCATCCTTTGCTCCTAGGATTTTATGAGTTTTCTGCAAGGGTTCAAGCATGGGTCAGACAAACAAACGTGTTCTTTCCAGCCACCGTAACCGGATCGCAGCAGCGAAATAAACTCCTAGAAGCGTCCAGAGACCGCAGCCAGTGCGCCAGCCCTTGGTAAAAGCAACTTCTAAGTGAAGCTGCTAGAGCCGCGGGATGCAGATTATAGTTGGTGGCTAAGGTCCCTTTGAGTCCCCCAAAATGCCTGGAGGAGGGAGACAGAGAGGGAGCACCTGGCAAAAGCAGCCCTCAGTTGTGCACGGAGCAGCGAGCTGGAAAGCCCTGCAGCTTCAAGAGAAGGAGGGAGAGATGCAAGGGCAGGACCAGGGTTCCCGGGAGAGGCCGCGAGTGGGGCCCTGCACCACCCCCACCCTCACCGGGACAGCTGTCCAGTTCTGTAATTCATTAGCTTTCCCTACTCCGCCTTCCAAATACCACCCCCATCCAATTTAGCCCCCTGCCCCACCTCGCTGACCTAATAAGGCCATGAAGTGTGCGGGAGACCTGTATAAAAGGGGAGGGCTCCCGGGAACTCTGCACGACGCCTGGAGCCAGGAGCCTGGAGCCAGGAGCCTGGAGCCAGGAGCCAGGAGCCAGGAGCCATCCAGCGCCGGGAAAAGCAAGCATGGCCAAGGAGTGGGGCTACGCCAGCCACAACGGTGAGTCCAGGGCTCTTCCAGAGTGGCCCAGCATTGCACAGAAAGTGAGCTGGAAAACGTGGGTGTCAGAGTTGGGTAAGCATTTAGCATTCACTGAGCCCTTTTTGGTGCTAAATGCGGCTGGTTCTTTATCTTTATCACACTTTGTTCTCCTATGTAGTTATTGTAAGCTCACTTTCTCTGACTGAGAAGTCAGCTAAGTTGAGGTTGGGGTCTGACTGTCCCCTCCTCTGCAGTACGAGGCAAGCACTAACCTCTCTGAGCCTGGTGTTGGTATGAGGCTCTCTGCTCTACCTATGACTTAAGTCTAATGAGAAAAAGAATACAACTGTACTCTGAAAACCACCAGAAATGCAAAAATGTCTATGATCAATGAATGAAGTCTATGTCAAAATAAGTCTTCAAGGCAATATTCTTGAGCTAGCACAAGGAATTCACAGAATTAAATGTAGTCTCCAGGCGTACTATGGGCAAAACTATGACTAGGTCTTAAATGCTTGTATTGCCCCATCTGAACCCAAGACAGTTAAGCAATCATTGTTCAGCCTCTGTGTATTTTGCAGGTTTAATCAATTGGAAAGCAGCTTTGAATTGTACACCAACATAAATTGTCTCAACTTTATTTCTTAGGTCCTGACCACTGGCACGAACTTTATCCCATTGCCAAGGGAGACAAACAGTCGCCCATTGAGCTGCATACTGAAGACATCAGGCATGACCCTTCTTTGCTGCCATGGTCAGCATCTTATGATCCTGGCTCTGCCAAGACCATACTGAACAACGGCAAGACCTGCAGAGTTGTGTTTGATGATACTTACGATAGGTCAAGTAAGTATGGCACTTAGGTAGGGGTGTGTGGACAACTTCAATGTTTGTGTTGGCAAAAATGTGATTTATGACACAGTCATAGAATTGGGAAGTGGGAGTGCTTTATCCCTGAAAACAGACATGACACTTGACTTGCCTTTAGCTGTAAAGAGTTATATTTATGCATTGAAGAGGAATGTCTCACCTCTAACTTTGGTTACTTTGGTGCTGCAAAGTGGCCCCATGCCCATTACTCCATCTTCTTTTCTTCTTTCTTTCCTTCCTTCCTTTCTTCCTTCCTTCCTCCTCCTCCTTCCTTCTTTCATTTCTTCCTTCCTTCCTTCCTTCGTTTCTTTCTTCCTTTCTTCCTCTCTTCCTGGGACTCAGGTTTGAAGCAGGTCTTTGTCTTTGCAAAGCAGGCACTCTTATCACTTGAGCCACACCTCCAGTTCTAGTAAGGCTGAAATTATTGTTGCTGACATACATAACTGACTATTGTTGGTGATGTTGCAATAAAGAATGCTAAGATTATAAGTCCTACATACTAAAAGATTCCAAGTAAGGAATATGGTAGAAGCTTACATTTTCTTAAATAATGATTTCATGTTGCTATCTTTTCCTTTTCTCTCCTTACCATTTAAGTCAATCTCCATTTTGAAGAGAAAACAACAAAATTAAGCTGTTTTTATTAGTATTTATTAGGTTGAACCTCATGAAAATGCTGTTTTTTGTAAGCAAAAATAGTTGAATATTAGCAATTTCATATGGTTTATTTGAATACATTGGACTCACGTCCAAATAATAACTATTCCAAGTGAATTGACTGGAGAAACACAATGAATCAAACCATTTAATTCCCTCATGAACAAGTTCATACAGACCGAGCATTATTGTTTTAGATATACACTATGGTTCCCACATGTCACTTAGTCATTTCCAAAATAGCTACCCTTTGAATTTTATCTTTATCTAGTTTATGTTGCTGAATCTTGATTTTAAGGCCTCCTACAGTGTTTTCAATATCCTTTGGAAGGTATTTGAACCTCTACGCTACTCCCAGGCTGAATTATTTGAGAACAAATTAAGTGATGGGTCCAGATGTTTATACAAGCCCAAATTAATGTTAACAAGAATTATCCAGTCTATTGATTTCCTGGGAAATTTCTCAATTTTCCATTTCATTTGATTTGAGAGGCACAATCTAAATTAGATGTGGATGAATGTTCTTTCTTGTTGTCTTAAGGAAAAGTGTACTTGCAGGCAAGACACAGACAAGAAATTCACATTTGCACAGTGACCACTGTGCAGGCACTGTGATGAACATGATTAAGTGTGTAATCTCAGTTAATCCTCACACCAGGTCTGGAAGTGTGAAATTATTATCACCTTTCTAGAGATGCATAAATTAGTTCAGAGAAGTTTAGCAACTTGCCTGAGATCACACGACTATCAAGTGTGAGGCCAGGATTGGAACCTAAAGGTCTGTCCTGTTTCTTAGCTGCCCAGATTCTTCCCATCATACTACCCTAATGACCTTTCTTTGGGTGTGTGCATCCTTATTGTTGATCTATTATTTTTATTAAGTGTTGAACAAGAGTTCATGTTGTGAGGAGTCTGGAGTGCTTAGGAATGGCTTCATGTACTCAACAGATTGACCTCCCTTTGCCCATCAAGCCATGTTTAACACAGGGCTCTGAAGGGCAGTGTGAATTCACTGTTGCTCTCACTTACCTGACTCACAGTGCTGAGAGGTGGTCCTCTTTCTGGACCCTACCGACTTCGCCAGTTCCATCTTCACTGGGGCTCCTCAGATGATCATGGCTCTGAGCACACCGTGGATGGAGTCAAGTATGCAGCAGAGGTAGGAGGAACCACCTAATTGATTGTAGGTCTTACACAATGAAAATGGAAAAAATTAAAGACAATAACCTCAGCAACAAAACAACATCCACTGTTTTTGCTTCAAGGCTGTAGTTGTGAAACTACAGCATAAACTGGAGCTGCCAAACATGCCAGAACAGATGGTAGAGTGGGTAGGGGTGTTGGCATCATGCACAAAGATTTCCAGTGTTAAGTTAAGAAATTGGATGGCTGCTTAATATAAAAAGACTAGAGTCCTGAATGGACCCAGAATGGTAAGGATAGCTGGCACTTACTAAGTACATGAACTAACTCAATCCCCTCAACAACACTTTGCAAGAGGTTGCAGATGAAGCAACCTAGGTATAGAAAAGTTATTTAACAAAGGCACACAGCTGGTGAGTGCTAGACCTGGTGTTATTCTTTAGGCAGGTTGGCTTCAGAGTTCATCTCATCCAGTGCCCTGTGCTGTCTCTTTTATAAGAATATAGTGATTTACAAATAGCATTTAGTAATTTTGGCTAGTGCTCACGTTCTAGTCTCTTAATGAAGGTGTGTGTATACTTTTGTATGTGCAGCTCAGATCAAGGGAGCAAGTTACAAAGGGAAAGAGGCAAACCACCTACATGTTCTTTTTATAAAGCCACACATGTAAGTGGTAGCAATTTCCTTAAATGTGAGGATCACCTCATTTTCCTGCTTCACTCTTTTCCAAGAACAGGCTGTGGTCAATATAGGGGCCGGGATAGGAACCTGAAGGTATGGAGTGGACAGTCTCATTAGTGGAATCATTTGGATGTTTAATTGTTGGTTATATTAAACTGGAGGAAACCCAAAGTTCTTCACTGTGATCATTCCATTTCTCTACAACCAATCCAGAGTAGCAAAATAAATTAATCATTGAAAATGTTTTCCCAGTAGGTATTTCCCTCACAAATGGGGAAAGTTTAGAATATTTCTTCCAGATGTGGAATAGACTTTAAGTTTGACTTTTGTGCATTGAGTTATCTCACCCTTTTGGTCTTGAGTAAAATATTTTTAATTGCTGCAAACTATGATATTCTCTTGCCAGTGTAAGTAACTCAATATGGGAAACTTGATTAACTTAACTGGAGCTCATGTTCTAAATTAAGATAAGGTTGCCACCAGGATCTAGAGTTCTGCCTGAAGGGAGGGAGATAGTTTTATATGTTTTTTATTTAAACTAATAAAAATTTTACCAAATATTGTATGTTAATATTTAGAATTTTGTCAGTTTCTATGAGTATTAAACAACAACCCTTAGACTCACATTTTTAGGGTGTATGTGAATCATTTCACACACATTTCCTTATTCCAGGGATTTACCCTATAAGCTGTATTTTATGGTTTCAGCTTCATTTGGTTCACTGGAATCCAAAGTATAACACTTTTGGAGAAGCTCTGAAGCAACCTGATGGAGTTGCCGTGGTTGGCATTTTTCTGAAGGTAAGGTAAACATTGACTGAATTTTTTTTCTTTCAAAACTTAGTTCCTTATTAATGTTTAGGATCAATGCATGAGTTTCATTCCTTTTTCTGGTTTGAGGGATCTCTCTCTCTCTCTCTCTTTCTCTCTCTTCCTTCTTCTCCTTCTGTGTGTGTGGTGGGGAGTGGGGACACAGGCTTCAAGGGAGCTGATTATGGCGGTGATGAGGGCAAGATGACATGTGCTCATTATCTTTTCCCACTACTCCATTTCAATTGCACTGGAAACCAGAAAAGCCATTGGTGGGAACCTCTGTTATGCCAAGTGTCTGGCTGGACATCCCTGTAGCAAAGGTGCCACCACCCACATGATCCCAGGCTAAGAAGTGCAAGGAATGTGTGTGTTGTTCAGCCAGCCTTGGTTTATAGAGGACTTAGTGTCATTAACACATGAATCTGCTGGTAACACAATCTAGAATTTAAGTCAGAGGTGAAAATCTGGCTTCTTTCTTTTTGAATGACCTAATTTGTTTTATGTTCTGAATTCATTGGGTCATTTTCGGTGCTTGAACTTAACACAAGAAGTAGACCACATTTAAGAGGAAAGACAATGAATTTAGTTTGTCCGTCCTAGCTCTAATTCTATTTTTTTTTAAAGTCAAATAACTTTGCAGAGGAGGTAAAGGACATAGAACTAGATCAACATGTAATTTTGTGGTTTTGTACTTCAGAGGACAGGAGTCCAAGTTTAGATCAGAAAACATATACTCTAAAATCTTAGAGGAGAAATAAACTTGTTTTGCTTAGAACAAGATTTTCTGGCGGATTTATAAACACTAGTTGCATATAGATGGATCAGAATCAGTTTTTAAGATGATCTTAAATTGTGGAGGAGGGAAAAAAATCATGTTGGATTTTTATTTTCTTTATAGATAGGGCGGGAGAAAGGCGAGTTCCAGCTTCTCCTTGATGCACTGGACAAAATTAAGACAAAGGTAAAAGAAAATAATTTTCCCTCTTAAAACATAAAGCAGAGCGAGGATATGCTTTTACATTTTCAAGTAAAGTTTATCACTAAGTTTGATGGAGAATATGATATATTTGATACATTGTAAGAATCTTTGTAAATGTTACAATGTACCCCCACCCAGCACAACAAAAAGATCTGCCATTGTATTTGTTTAGAGCTTTTTAGAGCAATTTCACATACATCCTTTTATTTAAGTGTTACAACCTGTCAGATAATGATTTTCTCAAGAAAGTGGGTAAGAGAGAAGTAAAGTGTCCAATCTCTTCTCTTCCTCAGTCTTACAGAGGTTCCAAACACCAGCCAAGGATGGTCTTTTTCCAACTTTTTGGTAGAGGTTTGATTTTTTTCAGACAAGGTCCCCTTATGTAACTCAGGTAGGCCTCCAACTCTAGATCCTCTTGCCTCAGTCTCCCAAGTTCTGGGATTATAGGCATGAATCACCATACTTGGCTTAAAGCTGGCGTTTTTGGGGGAGGTGGAGGGTGGAACCAGTGTTTGAACTCAGGGCTTCATACTTGCAGAGAAGGTGCTCTACCACTTGAGCCACACCTCCAGTCCAAAGCTGGCTTTTTAAATCCTAGTGTTACCCTTTTGGCAGCACCTATATATTTTAAATCACTATTGTAGACTTTTCTAACTAACAAATTTTAGTTGCTTTGAGACTATTGTAATTAGTCGCCATTGAGTTTTACCACTAGAAAAAGTAACTATTATGAATGTAGCATTTAATAAAAATGTATGCTTGTTTTTTTTTATTGTCAAGAACCAAAACATCAACTTACATGAAGTAATTCAGTTACATTTAGATACAGTATGAATTTCACCTTCTGAGAAGTAACAGAATTAGAGTTCTGTCCATAGTAAAACAATAAGAATCAAAATACTGCAATGATTGTGCTAGATCAAGTCATAATATACAAACCGGCTTCCCATTCCTTTGTCCTTTATTTCTGAAAAACCTGAGCCTTTTTAAAAAGTGCTGTTTTTCTATTGCATTTGAAATCCTTTCTCACAAATAAAATGGTGAGACCTTCAGGGTAGGCATTGTGCTGCATGTTAAAATTCACAGTGCCCGTGCCTTCCTTGCTCTCTTCCAGGGCAAGGAGGCACCCTTCACACACTTCGACCCCTCCTGCCTGTTCCCCGCCTGCCGGGACTATTGGACCTACCATGGCTCCTTCACCACTCCACCCTGCGAGGAGTGCATCGTGTGGCTGCTGCTGAAGGAGCCCATGACGGTGAGCTCTGACCAGGTAAGCGGCAGCTGCAGAGTCTGGAGAGCACACAGACTTATATCACTGGCTGACTGTAGAAGACACAGATGCTAAACTGAAAACACATAGCTGCTAAATGGGTACTTACTGAACAGCTCTGTTGGAGATCTCATAGTTTGCCCTGGTTAATTTCCACCAGCCTCTCCTACTTTTTCAAATTTGGTTCCCCAAGAGTACCAGGATAAATGCAGTCACTTAAAAGCAGTTGTGATAGTGAATAATGACTAAGTTTATGCTCTATAAACACTCATGGGTTTAGATTAATATGAGTGAGTCTTTTTAAAATTAGGTTGTTCCTAAAATACTTAGCACTAGTTCGGAGATGAGCGAGCAAATTCAGAACTGGGAAGGAGAAGGGGATTGGAAGGAATTTAGCATCATTGTGAGGAGTATTTTATTTCTCTACTTTCACAGAAAAGTAATTTCAGGCTCAGAAAGATAAAGTAATGTGCTCATGAACTTGATCAAGTGCAGGATCCTAATCCCAGGTCTGGTCTGTCAGCTTCCAATATTTCTTGGTACCTCTTCTCAGGTCTCCCTTATTTCTATTTGTCTAAAGAGTATGCTAGCAACATTTATTAAAGAGGCTTTCCAGGAAAACTATTTGGGAGAAGTTAAGTAGCCGTGAGCATTGCAAAGAACACATTTAAGCAAATGAACACAGGGACACACACCCTAGAGCGCGAAGGTTTATTCTAATAACAAGATCAGTTTACCATTCTCTTTCCCTTGTCTTAAGACAGCAGCTTTCTTCTTTGGACCAAAGTATATTCATTGACTTTTTTGTCAAAAGATCCGATATAATGGTCTTACTCATTTGTTCAAAGCAATTGTCTTAGGAAAAGAATGAAATTTTCTTAAGGAGAAAGACTAAAAATGTTAATTTTAATATTGAAACAATATTCTTAGTGAGAAATATCTACTTTCTTATCCTTTAAGGGAAAAAGTCAGATTAAGATTTAAAATGTAGCATGACTCTAATAATTGGTTCCATAAACTTACTCAAGGAAGGCCTATTAAGCTTATTATTTACACTATGTTAAATCACGATCATCTACATAAAATTTATACTTCATACTGATGCCTCAAATTAAAATTCAGGAGAAACTCAGTAGAGAAAGGATTTGATCAGAGAGCATGATGATCTTAGGTAAAATAAAAAAGAGAGATTTTTACAAATTAAAAAAATCATGTATTATGAACTGCTCTGGATGGGTGCTGGAGTCAGGTTTTGTGTGCTCACCTGATGCCAATGCTTTGTGCCTTGCTGACCATCTGCCTCTGCCCCTTGCAGATGGCCAAGCTACGCAGCATCTTCTCAAGCGCTGAGAACGAGCCCCCCGTGCCCCTTGTGGGGAACTGGCGCCCTCCACAGCCTATCAAGGGCAGGGTGGTGAGAGCCTCCTTCAAGTGAGGCAGTGAAATCATCTTGCCCTCTTCAGGAAAGGAAACCTGCCACTGGAGAGCTTGCTCCTTGCCTCCTTCTGGTGCTCCTTACTCCATGTATATTTCATTCTCCACAATGAGAGAGGAGTGTGAGAGATGCAATTACCAAGAAACCACAGTTACTTTTGACAAGATCTAATACAAAAGCATGAATTTGACACATGACCTTTGTAATAATCATCTTTTCTATAGAAGTAATATTTCTAGCAAAGTTTCTATGAAGAAGGAACAGACATGGAAGAGTAAAGATGTAGAAAAATGGCTATTGAGCACCATTTTTCTGCATCTCACATTTCACAGAGCCTCAGGTTTTCCTATTTTCATATGATGAGTCATCCATCTTACAGAAATGTTGAGTAATTCTCTATGTGGAGGTAAAGGTGTATGAAGATTATGTAACAAGCCTGAAATCAAAATTATCGTGGACACCAAGAATTAAAATGAGAGTGTTTTTACCTCTTAAATAACACCAGCAAAAAGTCTATCACTTATTAAAATTTTAGTTACTACCAAGATTGCCTGGTTTTGATTATCAATGAAAGGAAAACACAAGAGGACCAGGTGTTTTAAATTTTTGATTGAATATTTGAATTTCTTCTTCATAAGGATGGTTTTCTTTACCTGAAGCTGGGCCATTTATTTTTTATTTCACTACTGTAATCCTTGCATGCTTACTAAGACAAAAGCTGTTTCTGATGTCTTTTGAAATCTGAGGCTGGAATTAATGATGCCTAGAACAGGAAGGAATGGATGACAGCTCTTGAAGCAGAAGCAGTTGTAGCAATCACCAATGCCAATAAAGACAGATGCAAAATGTTGGATATTATGTGTATGTGTTTTTTCATGAAAATGCATTATAAAGGAAAATGCATTATAAAGTAAAACTGAGAAGGACAAACTTTGTAAGGTAGTTTTTCAAACTGAAGGGCAGTGATAAAGGACTCAATTCTGAGTTTGGAGACTACATTCCTCAAGGAGGGGCCAAAGCAATCAGTGAGGCCTACCTGACAAAACCATGGATCAGGCATTGTGGACCCCACATCTGAGAGCATGAGTGTCCAGAGACCAAAGAAGTGGTTAGGCTTCTGGGGCTCAGACTGGTGCAGTGGGCGTGGAACATAGACTGTAGCTTTTATTTATTTATTTATTTTGAAAAATGTGATTTGGGGTGATACTAGTCCATTAATATTAAAGTCTATATATAGTAAGTATCTTTCCACTTAAAGACTAATTTTGCACTTAGTGGTCTTGATCATCTTTCATTGCTTCACTGGCTAATAAGTTAACTACTTTAGAAAATACTGACAATAAGTTCATTACCATAAGGAATGAAAAATGGTGTTTGGTCAGGGGAGTCCTGAGATGCTGGAAGTCACATGACAGAGTCCTGTGAGGCTACACTTATTTAATAGATTACCACTTGGGTGAAGGAAAACCAGGTTGGTCAGTGTGAAGTAGATGTGCTAATTAAATCCCTTGAAATTAGAAGGTGTGGAGCTTCCATCATTAGTGGTAATACACAAGCTGATTCTCTCAGGGTTCTTAGTAATGCTTAGAGCACTAGAAAAAGTGTCTCCAGTATTCATTCTGTGTGCAGGTGGCATGTGGCCTAATGCCACCTAGAAATGGTTCTTATTCCAGTACCCAGCTAGACAAGCCTGAGGGAAAATGCTGAATGGAAGGAAGCTATCCCTCAGACCATGACCTCCATGAGGGCACAGATACTTTGACATTCAGTCAATTGCCTAATACTGCGTCTGGAACATAATAAGCACTCAATAAATATTTGGCGAACAAATGATGGTATGACTATAGAGGAATCCAGGAAAAATACTCATCTTTTTGAACCACACATTGCTCTACATGGTTAACACTAATTCTGGCTTGTGCTTATCTTAGTTTAGGTCTGCTTGGAATATGATCTTTTTAGCTTCAGTTGGACACATATGAAAAATTAGTAACAGTTATCCAAATAAGAATTGACAGAAATAAGCTGGGCACCGTGGCTCTTGCCTATAATCCTAGCTACTTGGGAAGCTAAGATTGGGAGGATCATGGTCTCAAGGCCAGCCAGGGCAAATAGTTTGAGACCCCCATCTCCAAAATAACCAGAGCAAAACTCAAGCAGTAGAGCAGTTGTTGTGTGAGCCTGAATGAAGCCCTGAATTCAAACCCCAGTTTCATAAAAAAAAAACAAAAAAACCCAAAAACATATTAAATACCACATCTACAGAAAATTAGATTGTGCTTTCTTTTATAATGCCTTCTTTGATATTAAAAAGGAGCTCTGGACAGGAGTATATTATTTAGCAGAGAAAGAGGAAGAGATCACTGTGAATGTAAGATTTAAACCATTTCAAATTTAAAGTATGCAAATTTAATGGTTTTTAAAACTGGCCTAAGGGAGTATGCTTAAAGACTTAAAATGCAAGATGAAATCACTTTTTCATGCTATTTTCATTCAGGCCACTAGATGTCAGCAAGATAATTACAAAAACAACAAAAGCCATGTGTTTTATTCAGAGTAATTAATTTTTTTAAAAAAATTTTGATCTGGCACATTATTTCCTTCTTTCATATATTTACTATTAGCCATTTATATCTATCTTCAAAAGGAAAGACGATGTGTTCTTGTGTTTTTGATAGTCTTAATAGCCCCAACTGAGGCTTGGTGGATATGGAAGTATAGTTACTGAACTAAACTTAAATAAATGAGAAGTGAATGTTTAAAATTCCTGTTTAGTATTGAGAGGGACTGAGGCACAACACTTTCAGGATGTCAGGTCTCAGGCACTTTAATTTCTGTCTACCTATTTCCTCTTTTATAAATAGGAACGCCCACAGGGTTTTGTTTTTTTTTAAGAATTGAGTTAATACAGGTAGACTACTTAGAATAGCCATTCTGACATAATTCTTAGTAGGAGTTGACTCTTTATTTTATTTTGTTTTACTCTATTTATTTATTTGAGACAAGGTCTAGTTATGTAGCCCAGGCTGTCCTCAAATTCATGCTCCTCCTGCCTCAGCCTCCTGGGTGCTGAAATTCCAGGTGGGTACCACCATATCCTGCTGTCGTTAACTCTTGTTTTGTAGATTATTCAACTAAGAAAATTTCTAATGGTTTATTTATATACCGAAAGTCATGTTTTTATGTATCTGTTTACAACATCATGAATGCACATCTCATCTATTCAGATCATCTTAAAAGAGGCACTAAAATGGGCTCACTTCTGCTTGCTATTGGGAAGAAATGATACTTTAAAACATCAATTCTTGTATTAAATATGTAGCAGGGAAACCTGGATGGGGCCACACTGGACCAGCCCCTGGCCAGAGGAGGGGATTCAGAGGACCAGAGAATTTTTCCTGATGAAGTTTCTGTTCCATGAGCTGTGCAGGAAGTGGACAAATTATCAGAATATCCAGAAAAACCAAAGAGCAGATGAGGGAGAATCATGGTGTTCATTTAGTTTGGCATTGACTTTCAAATGTTGATGAAGCAGAGTGCCTTGGAGAGCTACACGAAGTGGAAAATCTATCTTAATAGTAAATATGGAAAGTCTCCTGCCATAAAATTAGTTTTGAGCTTGTCTGGGCATGTCATAAAATCAAAATGCTGAATAAGATGCACAGTTCACACCTGGGAGAAGGGTTTAAACTTTCGGGATGATTTGTCTCCAATTGAACAAAAAGAGGTAAAACTAAGCATAAAATCTATGATCAAGGGATTGACTAGAGCTCTGATGAACTACCTTAGATGTGAAAGTGTTTAGTAGGTCCAGCCACCTGACAACTTGACCAAGTAGATAATCACAGGTAATCAGCAAGAGTAAGAGCGAGTCTAACAGTGCAGCCACAGGGGACTAAGCGCACTGCAGCGGCATAAAAGCTAATTTTAGCTAGGTGAGAATCTAGCTACTCTGTGCAGTAAACAGGGAATCAGGTCCTCCCTTGTATTTAAATCATTCCCAGATAGAGGAGCCTGGAAACTCGGGGAAAATATTATGTATATTAATGGTACATTTTCTCTGTTCCAACTTGTCAATAAATTTCTATTACATTCATGGTGCTCATTGGAAATTTGGATGGTTCCAAACACAATTGTTCCAGGGAAGTCATTCCCCAAAGGCCACTGACTCCCATGAAAGTATAATACAGATGGAAGCATTTGAAAATACGAGGCTCACTGAATTCAAACTTCTGCTCTTCTGTGGTTCTAGAGTTTCACTTGTTTCTGTTTGGTTTTATTTATGGTGTGTGCATGTGAATTGTGGGGACAGTGAAGTTTTATGGAAGTAAGGAGTTTATCTGTCAAGTTACATTACAGAGACCCCAGGACCTAACTCAGAATCTGCAACCTGTCAGAGCTCATAGGTATTTGTTGGATGGATGGAAGAATGGATGGATGGATGGATGGATGGATGGATGGATGGATGGATGGATTGATGGTGAAATGAGACTCCTAAAGTGTTGAATGCCAGTCTAGTTTCATGAACTATTAAGAGCTTCCTCCTCATTTGATGCAGGTCAGAGACTGACATCTCAATGAGTTTTGGGAAGAGCATCTATTTCTGCAACTCAGGCTTCTGTGTAAAGAATATGTGCATGGTAGAAGAGAGGCAGTTTCACACATATACAAACCATATTCATGTAAATTTAAAATTTAAAAGCTAGCTTAGTATAGAACAGACATGTTTTAGGAGATACAGAAGGAGATTCTTGATCTGGATATTTATCTCTTTCAGCACCCGTGTTTCTATGTACAAGCTGAAGAGTGAGGTTGGTACCGAGCATGTGATGCTATGCTCTGATGATCCTAAGTGACATTATTCATTTTTCCCCCTCTTTCTTTTCCAGAAGTTTGATTTAATTTCCTCATTAACGACTTTAGCTTTCCATTTCATTTGGTTTTCTGTGAAGATGTTTATAGCAATTCCACATTTGTAACAAAGAATCCTCTTCCTAATTCAAATGTTTGTCCCATGGTCAGAGATTAGTGAAATATACTTTTGAAATTTCATTGCACATTTCTAACTGACACATTTTTCTCCACCTGAGCAAAGTAGTTCAGGTAATTTCCCATCTCCACAAACAGCACAAAGATGCAAACCACATGTATGTTCAGATTGTTATAGTTACTAGCTATCTGCATGCTACTTTTAAATATAGCTAAACTTTTTGAAAAAATGAAACTACCTCAGACAATGAGTTGCCAGAACTCAGAGTCTATTTTTATGTGAGAGGGTGGTATGGTACTTTGTGGGTCAACTTGTAACTTGATATGTAAATCTCTGGCTGACTATTGTGAATATTTTTCATTTAATGACAATTCATTAGAGGAGGTCTAATTTCTACCTTTTAATTTGTTCTCTCTAACAAAGAGCTTGTTGTCAAGATTGTGAGGTATACAAAGTCTCTTGTTCTTAGGAGTTTAATTGATATGAAACATTGATTAGGCCCCAAGAGGGGTGGAGAGCTTCAGAGGAATTATGAAATAACCACAAGGCCTGAAGAAGAAAGTTTGCAACTAGAGGGTAGTGCTTTCATCTGGGAAAAAGCATTCAATATTTGATATCTGTATTAAAAATATACACAAGTTATTTTAGAAAAAACTCTCATGGAAAGGATTTCAGGCTTTTCAAAAGTGTACGGAAGAGATCAAAATAGGTCAAGAAACTACCTTGTTGCATTCATAAGAAAGTAGAAAAAGGAGAAAATAGAGCAGGGAGACCTTCAAACATTACTCAAGTGAAATTATACTGAACATGGCTGTGGCTACCAAAGGGAAGGGCTTATCAGGCAAGAGCATGGTGCTCAACGCACAGTGTATGTTAAACAGAGATATCAGTGCCATTGGAGGGAGAAAGAGATAGCAGAACCAAGGCACAGGTGACCTGCAAAACACGGCTCAGGGTCAGATCTGGTGCCAGCAATGGATTCCGCACTTGTTTTGGATAATGCAGACCCTTGGGACACAATTCTTGAACATGATTATATACACACACAGTATTGCGCTATTATATATTATAAAATATAAACAAAGTAGACATTTTTAGAGGTTGAAAAAATTAGCTATAAATAAGCTAATTTCTTCCTGCCATGGCTTCCCTGAGCATGAAAAGCTCTAGTAAAGAGTCTGGTGTAGAGTGTTCTGCTAACAAAGTCAGGTCGCAGAGTCTCCTGCCAGCTTGTCTGCTTTGTTCTGTCTTGTTTTCTCTCACCATGCTGCTCCATTGTTTTACTCATAGCCTCACCACAGGGGCACTGCCTGAGAGTAGAAGAGGATAGGCCCATCAGAAATCTTATAAAGAACAGACCAAATAAGACCCTGTGAATTGTGAGAAGTCTAGTACAGCTACACTTTGACAGTCCAGTTTTGACCTTGGCTTTGGTGGGTTTTGAACTGATTATAGCTCAGTTTTGTCAAAGATGGAGAAAAGTAATAATAATAATGAGGAGGAGGAGAGAAAGAAAGGAGGAAGAGGATAAGAGAGAGGAGGAGGAAGAGGGGAGGAGGAGGAAGAGGGGAGGAAGAGGAAGAGGGGAGGAGGAAGAGGAGAAAACACATTCCATCCTATCAAATAGGACAAGACACATTCACTATAGTGTTCCTTCTGTTAATTGAAATATTAAGATAACATTCACCTATTCCTTCCAATATGTGTTTATGTTCCAGCCACACTGTGCTTAGGTAGGAGAGAGAGAGAGAGAGAGAGAGAGAGAGAGAGAGAGAACAAGAAACCTTTTCTAGAAGCCTAGAGATAATTATACGGAATACTTTTGAAAATTTTATATGAAATGGTAAAAACACATCAAACTATAACACAAAGCAAAGATGTGTAAAGAAAATGACATGAGAGTTTAAAGTTAGGATTGATTTTCTTAGTTCATTACTTTACTCCTATTTCCCCATATCCTAATTTTGAGCAATCCAAAAATTTAAGACATCTTTTCATGCATAAAACATGTTTCTTTTCTGCTTTAGGATTAACCTGAGCAAGCACAAAATGAGAGAACTACCAAGTTATAAAATGTAACCCCCTTTGTTTCCTGTAGCCTGCTGGTTTCCCATTTGAAAACTTTAAGACTCCAGCTAGTGACACTAGTGATTTAGGCTCTTACCCTTCTGCAAGAGGAAACTTAGTTGAGATGCCTTCAGTTCCTCTGGTGTGGAAAATGTTAGATTGTTCTTGTTACTAAAAGGAAGCCAGAAATTTCCCATATAGAGTGGTGATTCATTGATAAAAGAGAAGTTTAGTCATGAGGTAAAGCTAATATTAATCTAACCAAGCTGTTATGATTTGGGCAGCAAAGTCATTATTGGAAGTGTCTTGAAGCAAAGTAAGGAGACAATAATCCCAAGGTGCAGAGGTAGGATTTTATTCTTTTCTACTCAATCCAATAAACAAAACATAAGTGAAGGGAAATTATAGGCAAAGCACTGTCCAAGAGCCCAATATTGCTGGACATACACATAATTCTTCCCAGACCTTTAAGAAAAAGACTTACCTTATGGGATTTTTTTTCAGTGCTGGAGCTCGGGCCCAAAGCTTTAGGCATGGGAGGCAAGTACTCTACCACTGATATACATCCCCAGCCCGTGTCTTATATTCTTACGGCAGTTTTTCAAAACCTGGGTGCACTAGGCCCACTCTCTTATCTAGGGGATACATGTTTGACACCTAGTGGATACCGGAAAGTGCATATAGGTTACCAAGCCTTATATATACTGTGTTTTTTCCTATATGTTCTGAAGCATCACCACATAGCACCACAGTCTGTCCTTCCACATTTTTGCCTGGTGCCTCTTTTGTGTTACTACTTTTGTGCTTTGGCCATTAGTAAATAACAAAGGGGTTCCGTGAACAAAGCATTACAGTACCTGGGCAATCGATTTAATAACCAAGACGGCTACTAAGAAACTGACAGTTGGGTAACACTTACAGCATGGGTGTGCTAGACAAAGGGATGATTTACATCCTGGGTAGGATGAAACGGGAGGGTACGAGATTCCATCCAAATGGTACACATTTGAAATCATAAATTGTTTATGGCTGGAATATCCCATTTAGTATTTTCAATTTGTGGTTGACCATCGATAACTTAAGCTATAGGAAATGAAATCACGAATAAGTGGGGACCTCAGCACTGTTAACATTTTGGATGAAATAAGTCTTTGGTGTGAAATGGGCTGTCCCATGCATTGTCGTATGTTTACCAGCGTCCTTGGCCTCTAGCCACTAGAGGACAGCCACATATCACCCTTTGTCCCAAGCTAAGAAAAGCAAAACCCAAAATTGTCTCTAGACATTGTTAATATATACCATAGGGCAAACTTGGCCCCAGTTGAGAACCAATGCTCTAAAGAGAGATGAACTTTAGCTTTATTAGAATGAATAGTTCATGGTACCACATGTGGCAACTGTCCTGGAGCATAAAATGTTTAAAATGTATAATTTTCATATTTTAGTGTAATCGTTTCATTTAATATTTCATTCTAGTTCTCTTGGACATTGAACCATGGTAAGCATGTTTGAATTCATTGACCACTGTTAAAAACTGGATAGACTTAATTACTTATAGAAAAGTTAAGTATTACTAGGTATCAGGAAAAAAAACAAAGACACAAAGAGGAACTGCATCTTTAAAGTCTGAAATGCAGTTTGCTAAGGACATTGGTCTCAACTATTTATTAGATGTGAAGGTAGTGCAATCTCTGGACACCCTCGTGGTTAGAAGGGGTTTGATAAGAGACTCTAAAGATACCCAGCGTGTGGACATAACTTTGCTTTGCAGAGTAGTGCCTCACACATACGCTTGATGCATGGTTATTCTAGCACTTAGACACAAGGGCTTTTATAAAATCCTAAAGGCCCTGAGCAGTGAGACCACATAGCAAATGGCAAAGAGCTCAAACTGCAGAGTGTGTCTGTTTGGTTTCATAGTTGGCTCTGTCACTTCTACCTGAGTGACCTGGAATAAACTACCTTATCTCAGTGCCTCAGTTCCCAGGCTATAAAATGAATTGATAGAGGACATTCAGAACCATGTTGGTACATAAACAGTTTTCAGTAAGTGTTAGTCATTTTTATAGGGCATGAACTAAAGTGTAAATTGTTTTTTTTCCATCCAAGTTAGAGAAACAGAAAAGTCAATCTATTATTTGCCAATGGGAAGTATTCTAACGACCATTGTATCATTTGTTCAGCCAAAAGAATGTGCCAGACCTGTAGCTGGCATCTTCCAGACATTTGACCTCATCATAATACATTGGAGCTAGAATATTTCCCTCTAATTTATAAATAAAGTAAGTGAAGTTCAGAGAGATCACTCACCTTGCTCAAGGTGATGCTGTAAGTAAGTGCTGGAGCTAGAATATGAATTCACATCTCTCACATTACAAAACTGATTCTGTGCCTCCCTACAATAAAAATAATACTAATGGAGTAGCAATCAACACACAAGCCATCATGCAAATTCACACAAATTATTTAACACTGTAAACAGCCCTGGGTACTCATTACATTTCACATATGAGTACTGAGGCTTGGGACGATAAAATAAACCATCCAAGATTGTGTAGTTGTTGAGTCCTAGAAACTGAATCTAAACTCACAAAACCTGGGCTCTTGCCTTCTGTGTGATGCTGCCTCCTCTTCTACTCTAGGGGAATAATGAGCGACTCAGAGGCCAGGAGGGCAGCAGAGCCAGGATTAGATGGGTATGTATGCTAGGAGAAGGAGTTCGGATCTTCCTGAAGGCAGTTGTTAGGTAAAAGCAAGGAGATAGAAAAGAGCCCCAGACCTACTGAACACCTCCAATGGTTTTCCCATGTTTAAAATAAGGAGTCGAAGTAGATAATCTCAAAACTTCCTTTGTTTTAAATACAGTTTCTATCATTCGCTTCCACATAACCTCCCAATGGCCTCCCTGTGCAGTTATTATAAAATCCTACCCTGACATCATGGTCTACAAAGCTCTGAAGGTTGCAGCTTTTGCCTGCCTCTGATTTCACTACTCGTTGTCTCTTCCTCAATCCAAGTGCCAGAACCGCAAGCTGTAATGTTCTAGAAACTTTCTTGCTCAGGACCTATGCACTGGCTGCTTCCTCTGTCTGAAATGTCTTTTCCCACACTTTCCTCAAATGCCATTTCCTTCAACAGGACTTCCAGGACCTATCCATCTGGAATAGCATTTCCTCGTTTGCTATTCTCTACCACATTCCTGTGTTATTTTCTTCATGCTTGTTGCCACTGTTGGAAATTCACTTTAGTATTGCTTGCTTGTTTATTTACTATGTACTACCTTATCCTCCCCCCTGAAAACTCTGTGGAGTAGGAGTCAGCTGGACCACGTTCATGGCTATAGCCCTTGCTGATGCCTGGCACATAATAGTACTGGACAAGATTCATTAAGTGAGTGAATATGCTCCTTGTGTGGAGCCCACATAGTACATAAAACACCGACCACTTAATAGGTGCTCAAAAACTTGCGCCAGTAAAAATGATTATTAAGGTGTAATTATTGGCATGATACTAAATCCTTTACACACATTAAATCATTTAGTCCTAACCACAACACTGTGAGGTAGGTATCATTATTATTCTAGCTTTACAAATTGAGTAGCTGAATCTTGGCAGGATCAAACAATATTCTCAAGGTCAGAGAGCTACAAAATTAACTAAGATTCAAAACCAGTTTAATTTTAACACAATGTTATTTTTCACCAACTGGCTTCTGTGAAGTGAAATTTCTATTGTGCCCTTTCAGATGGATAAAACTTCTTAATTTGAAAAGGCTTTACATAAGTAACCACTACGTGTGTCCTGGGGCTCAGTCTAGGTAAAGGGTACGAGATACCTAAGATAAAGAGATTAACAATTTGATAAAGTTTCCATCTACCCACATTTTATTTTATTATTTTTTTTATTGTTTTATTATTCATATGTGCATACAAGGCTTGGGTCATTTCTCCCTCCTGCCCCCACCCCCTCCCTTACCACCCACTCCGCCCCCTCCCTCTCCCTCCCACCCCCTCAATACCCAGCAGAAACTATTTTGTCCTTATCTCTAATTTTGTTGAAGAGAAAGTATAAGCAATAATTAATAGGAAGGAACAAGTGTTCCTGGTTGAGATAAGGATAGCTATACAGGGAGTTGACTCACATTAATTTCCTGTACATGTGTGTTGCCTTCTAGGTTAATTCTTTTTGATCTAACCTTTTCTCTAGTTCCTGGTCCCCTTTTCCTATTGGCCTCAGTTGCTTTTAAGGTATCTGCTTTAGTTTCTCTGCATTAAGGGCAACAAATGCTAGCTAATTTTTTAGGTGTCTTACCTATCCTCACCCCTCCCTTGTGTGTTCTCGCTTAAAGTCCAATCCCCTTGTTGTGTTTGCCCTTAATCTAATGTCCACAGATGAGGGAGAACATATGATTTTTGGTCTTTTGGGCCAGGCTAACCTCACTCAGAATGATGTTCTCCAATTCCATCCATTTACCAGCGAATGATAACATTTCATTCTTCTTCATGGCTGCATAAAATTCCATTGTATATAGATACATTTTCTTAATCCATTTGTCAGTGCACCTATCCACATTTTAATAAGAAAACCAAATATGTAAGTATGGAAAATGGATGCGCCATGCCCCAAACGCTTTTCTTTCCTTCCATTAAAATAAACCTCAGATAGCTGGAGGTTCTTCCCTCTTAAATTCTTTTTGTTCTTGAACTTTGCCCAAAAGTTCACTTTTGCACTCACTGCAAAAAAAGTCTAGGAAGAACTGAATAGCCATCATTACCTAAGTGCCTTCAGGTGGCAGGTGATTTATATTTTCTCTTTAATTGAATTCTTACAACCCTGAGGAGTGTGTCATTATTCTTCTTTTACAAAGTAGAGTGGTAGGTGTGGGTTGCAAAGAGATGATCAGAATGTGGTATCACACATACTAGGATAGACAGATGTCTGTCCTATGGAAGCCCCAAGAAGTGAATGGCTCTAAGCCATTAATGTTGTAATGGTAACAAATATGACACTACCTGGCTTTTCAGTTAAATATTTATTAACTGTGTATATCTCATTTAAAAATATATCAGCAGGGTGGGGGAGGGGGCAGGAGGGAGAAGTGACCCAAACAATGTATGCACATGTGAATAAATGAATAATTTTAAAAAATCAACAATGTTTATATCAGAGGAAAGCAAATACTTTCTCATTTTATTTTAAATTTTTACCAAGATTGACATGTTAGAAGCCTTTTAATTTACAATTGGAACACAGCATTCAAGTTTTTTATGTTTTCCTATCTGTCTCCCCTGCCCACTCCCAGCAGAGGGAAAGTACCTTTCTTCAAGTATTACCAGCTTCTCTATTTAGGATTATTATTCTTTCCCTCACATCCTCTCTACCCCTTTCCCCCCCTTTCTCTTTCTCCCCCTTTCTCTCTCTTTATCTCTTTCTTTCCTTTCTTTCTTACTTTAAACAAGGTCTGTCCAGGAGGCTTCAAACTCTCAGTTCTCCCGCCTCCACCTCCTGAGTGCAGGAATGACATGTGTATAACATCATGCTGGCAAAAGTTAAGCCCAAAGTAGATAAATTCTGAGCTGGGCTTCGGACCTAGATTTTTTGGTTTTGTTTTTTGAAGCAGGCTGTCACTATGGAGCCCAGGCTGCCTTCAACTCTTACTTCTCCTGCCTCAGCATTCCAAGTGCTAGGGTTATAGGTATGTGCTACCACATCTGGTAGAATTATTCTTCAATGAACCAGTCCTTCCATCTAATGGGAACACATGATAAATATTATTTTTATTTTTAAAAATCGAACATTGGTCTCTGGCAGACAGTGATTCATGACAGACTGTGAATACCTCCAGTAAAATATAGATCATGCCTGATCTACATGAAGGCACAAAGCCCTCTCCATCATAAAAATCTGCCTGTGGGAAAAAAGACAACCACTGTAATATGAAAAAAGTGAACAAAAACCATTTGGCTCTCTTCTGAGTTTCCAAAGGTGAACCTCTTCCTGTCCTGTGATGAGCATGTGACACTCCCTCTGTGGGGAGTAGTAGAAATAAGCAAAATCCAGTTTGGTGGTGTTTGAGCATGGCATGGTTGGCTTCACAGGAAACAAGAGGAAGAATCCCTGCTCCCTAATTTCCCAGTTACTTTCACAGTATCTTTAGTGTGCCCCTCTATTCGGACTTTGTGCTCAATTCTTAGCATTTAATGGTCGTATTCCAAGAGTCTCAGAGCCACTGGAAGTCCCTCTCTTTGTGGCTTAAGTAAATATTTTAAAATTATGCAAAGAATCAAAATTATTTCACTAGGTCCAAAGAGAGACTACGTAGTTACAGAGGTCCAAATAAAAGGTCCTTCTGTCTATGGAGTACATTTGGTAATGGTGCTAGAAACCTAAAAAGTTTGTTGGTGTTCTTTTGCCTAAGAATTCCCTAAGAATCAACTTAGAGACCCACATGCACAGAGGGACAAAATTTTCTAGAATCTTAGAATAAGAATAAGAAGGCCTAAACATGAGTCATATTTGCTTGTGTAGAGCTGGCTGAAACAAACAGTAATAACAATTTTGAGATCAACATTGCAACACTTCAGTTATAATTTACCCTATTATTCATTTATCTATAGATTTAAAAAAATAAGTAATGTGAGGTCAAGACAGGTACAAGCTCAAAATCTGTATTCCACTCAGTTTAAACTCTCAATACAATACCTACCAAGGTCACAGAGACCACAGAACACACGCCCAGTAATCCAGGCCTGGCCTCAGCTCTACAATAGCTTCAGGTGTTCACGAAAATATACTTAAAATCAGCATGAAAAAAACAAAGCTTTAGGTCAAAGAAAATACTTAAATATATAATAATAACTTTTATATTAATTCAGTAGAAAAGTGTGTCTTTATGAAGAAACAATATATTCAGGCAAAAATGCTTTAAGGCCAATGAAAGTCATAATTCTACCTGCTTAAAAGTCTTTTTTTTTTTTTTTTTTTTTTTCTGTTCTGGGAATTGAACCCAAGTTTCCTGCTTGCAAGGCAAATGCTCTACCACTTGAGCTATGCCCCCAACCCTTTGGTTTTTGTTTTGTTTTTGAGGCAGGGTCTCGCTGCTACCTCTGCTGGACTGGGCCTCCAACTTGTGCTCCTCCTGCCTTTGCCTCTGAAATAGCTGAGATTACAGGCACGCACCATCACACCCAAAGAAAATGTCTTTATTAAATTATCGTGCATGCTTTTCTAGGTACAGCAGATACAAATTTCCTTTCTCAGCCAGGGAAACTGATCATTTCTTCAGAATTCATTCTTTTACCTGATTCTTTTGAAAAAAAAAAGTGACTTATGAGACGTTTTGGCTATTTAAAATCGATATGAACACAATTAGAAAGTCTCCTCTCCTTAAGTGATTTTGTTAAAGAGAAATTAGAAGGTAGAAGGAGGAGATGAGCACTTCATGCGAGGCGCTGCCAGCCTGCAGGGAACTGCTGTGCTAGGTTCCCTTCTGTGTGGGCTGGGCTGAGACGGCGGCCCTTCCTCGCCTTATCTTACAACGGTCCGGCAGAGGGCGCATGGCTCCCGGCACCCGGGCTGCGCGCTCCCCAGCTCCTTCAGGACTGTATCCCTATTTGCCCCAAGGTCAAAGCTCCTAACCGAGCCTGCCAGACCCAGGCCCCGGACACCGCAATGTGAGACCTCCGAGGTGGTGGCTGCGGCGTGGGTGGAGCCGATGGGGCTGGACGGGACGGCACAAAGGTCAGAGATGCGCTCACAATGGGGACAGGGGATGAAAAGCACCCGCGGCCCGGGTCCCAAGCAGTCATCGCCGCGGCCAGACTCCGAGCTCAGCAGGGGGAGGGGGCGCGCCTAGACACTCCGCGGCCCCAAATCGACCCAGAAACCCCGGAACAGCAGCCGCCACCGTCACCGCGCGGACAGCCTCGGAGCCCCGCAGCCGCCCCGAAGCCGCCAGCCAAGGGAAGCCGGCGGCGAGAGAGGAGAGGAGCTCCCCAGCCCCGAGAGCGCCCGCCGACAGGGAGTTTTCCCCGCCCCACCCGGCGCCTCGCCAGCCCAACACCGGGAGATCACCTCCGCCCGTCACCTCCTCCCCTCGTCACCCAGGTCCACCCGGGATCCCCTCCCCTGGGCCGCCCCCGATCACGATCACGAACTTGGCGGGAGCCTATAAAAACCGGGGACCGTAAGACCCGTGGACACACGGTGCAGAGGCGCCCCAGCAGCCGCCGCTAGTCAGTCGCCAACCCCTTCCCTGCCCGACCGCCGGCGCGACCATGTCCCATCACTGGGGATACGGCAAGGACAACGGTGAGTGCGGAGGACGCGGCGTAACAGGGCCAGGGCCCCGATCCCCGATCCCCGATGCCGGCCCGGGCCCCGCAGCACCGGCACCTGCGGTTTACCGCGGTTCAGCTGCGCCCCGAGCGCCCGCCGCGAGCGCGTCCCCTGCGCCGGGGATGCCCCGGTCGCCCAGTTCCAGGGCACTGTCGAAGAATCTATGCTCCGCCCGGGAGCGCGCAAGACCCGGGGAGGGGCACAAGCAGCTGGGTCCACAGGATCGCGGACAGTCCCTCCTAAGTCCGGAGCCCCAGCCACCCTAACCCGATCTAACCTAGGAGGACACGCGAAAGTGTTGTAACGGAAATTTTCAGTTGTTGGTCGCAGAAAAATTAAGGGATCCTCTCCCCCACATGCATCCCATCAGTTTCTGCGCCACCTGTGGCTAAGATTCCAAGCACGAACTATCCGGAGTCATCTTCTCGAACTGGTTTGGATACATTCCGAGTTTTCCCTTCACTTCTGGACTAGTAATGTTAGAGGGTCAGTCACTAAGAACTGGGCGTTATCGTGACCCCAGATCCAGGTTTCTGGAGCCAGAGGAGGAAACGGAAAGATGCACCGATATATCATGCACCTTTTTGGAAGGCGTGGGGCTTCCCAAGTATTGGGAGTCCTGACCATTAAAGGAGGGGTGCCTGTGCCCTTTCGTCCAGCTCGAGGACACGAGGGAGGAATCTGACTTGTATGAATGCCTTAAGTGAACTTGATAACCCAAATTCTAACCACAAGCCCTGGCCATAGTTTCCTCCCTATTTCAGTTGCTGTATTTAAGTAAAAATACCATAAAATAGCTAATATTTGCATGACACTACTTGTTCTAAGAGGTTTCCATACATTGTAATTTTTACAGTAACATTATGAGGTAGACTTGTAATACTATTATTTCATATTACAAATGAGGAAACTGAGGCACACATTGTGGTTACACTACTATTCAGTAGTGCAGTCAAAACTGAAACTGAGCAGATTGGCCTCAGAATCATTGCCTTTTTCCAGGGATCAGTGTGTACCCTTCCCCACATTGAAAGATTCCCAAATATCTTATTGCCTTCAGGACCTGAACACTGGCATAAGGACTTCCCCATTGCCAATGGAGAGCGGCAGTCCCCTATTGACATTGACACCAAAACGGCCAAGCATGACCCTGCCCTGAAGCCTCTGACTACTTCCTATGATCAGGCGGTTTCTCGGAAGATCCTTAACAATGGTCACTCTTTCAACGTGGAGTTTGATGACTCCAAGGACAAAGCAGGTCAGTGTTGAAAAAAGAACTTGTGCCTTTTAGCCAGTAGCTGTTTCTCCAGTGGTAAGAAACCCTTGATGCAATGTGTCACTCCTCTCTCTTCGTTAGGTCCCAGACTCAGGGAAGTAGGCTAATTACTTTGATGTGTCCTGGGGCTGTTTGTCCCCTGGAAAATTCCTGGCTTCTGTATAGGACATTGAATAAGGAAGATATTTCTGTGAAAAAAATCACAAAAGTCAAAGTCCCCTGGCCATACAGATCAGCAGTGATGAAATTTACCAAAACAGAACTTTTAAAATTCTTTCTAAAATATTTGTCTTTCAGAGTTGATGCCTGTGCATTAAAAATACATATCTTAGTGTGTGATATCTTCAAGGTTGCAGTGAGCAAAGTGATAAAAATCTGACAACTTAAAACATTGAAGTTCTGGTCAAAACATAGGATTTATGAATAGTTCTCAGTATTAGATTAATGTGGTAAAGGTAGCGGTGTATCTTGGTATCTACCAGAAATTCATTCCACAAAGGAAGATGTTTTAGAGTTGGGGGACATGCCTAGCCCACTTCTGACAAATTCAGTTCCCCTAATTTATTTGTAGTAGAGCTGTTTACAGGATGCTCACTGAATGCTGCTTCTATTTTATTCAGAAACAGGAGAACAGTCCTCTTTAGACACAGTGGCTGCCTCGTTGCTCATGGTTGATTTAATCGCCAGTGCCCTATTTTCCCGAGTACTTTCTTCTGAAGGTCATTGAATGAAATGGTGCTGCAAACACATGTTTGGGACTGGTTTGGGAGTGGGGGGAGTGTTGGAGGAAAATGAGAAATGATAGAGAAAACCTTCAATAATGCTGCCAAAGTTTTGGAATAATGACTCGTGGTGCTACTATGTAATTAAGACCATCATCGTCAGGCTGACTAGTCTTTTTCAACAGCTATGTAATATATTCAGTTCAGTTTTGAAAAAAAGTTTCCCCCTTTCTCCTCTTTTAAAAAAAAGTTTGGACACATGGTTTTCTGAAATAGTGATTCTGGAAGACAATTTAATGAGCGACAACTTGGAGATCCTCTGAGAAATGTTTTCAGTTTATCTGTGCCTTGGTGCACCTCTCATGTTTAATGATTCAAAAGACAAAAGAAGGGAGCTACTTTAGTTTTTAGCTGTCACTTTTTTTTAAAGAGCCACAATGAAATTGTTATTGTCAATGGTATAATGTCTAGCAAATTATGTACCTCATTAGATGTTACATAGAAATGGGGTGCTTACGGTGTTTTTTTGAGCAATGAGAAAACAGATGGAATCAGATGAGGAAATTCCCGATATTCTTTACACAGGTGACTGTGAAATGAATTGTTCCAGTAATGTACATTACTAGAAAGTGGATTTCAGCCAACAGTCCAGTGGCTAGAGCATCAACTGGGGACAGATAGACCTGGATTTGAGTTCTAGCTTTGTCACTAACTAGCTCTGTGACTTCAGGAATGGTAGTAATTTAACCTATCTCAGTTTTGGGGTTTTTTTAAACTGTAAAATTAATGACCGCCACAGAGGAAGGATAGATGGAACAACATATATGAAGTCCCTAGCCCAGTGCCGAGTGCATAGCAGTTCCTCAAGTGAGCAGTCATTGCTGTTGCCATGCCTGTGCCCCATTTGGCTGCCTTTATTAGGCAAAGCCTGTAGTGTTGCATTTGTGATAAGATCTCCGAAGACACTTTTATCTCATTAAGATTGTCTCTTTTTGAGGGAGGGGAGCTCAAACTCATGGCCTTCACTTTGAGCCACTCTGTCAAGGTGGGGTTTTTTTGTGATGGGTTTTTTTGACATAGGGTCTCACAAACTATTTGCCAGGGCTGGCTTCGAACCGTGATCATCCTGATCTCTGCCTCCTGAGTAGCTAGGATTACAGGCGTGAGCCACTGGCACCCAAAAGGTTATCTCTTTAAGATTAGTTCCCATCCCTTGCATTTAAATTTTTTTTATATATATCCTAAAACTTGCTGTTTATCTATGCACTTATTTTATTTATGAAGCTATACATAATAATGTGTTTTATCTTGAATATATTAACTGTTGATGGATTGATTTCTACATGAGCTAACCAGTTTTCCAACTGTTTCTTCTGGTGAATGATGGCCAGGCTTAGACCGTGAGACAGAAAGAAATTAAGTAGTTTAGGTTAGAAATTCTAACCCATGTCTTTAGAGGCACTTGTATTATCTCCTTAGTTCTTATAAAAAAAAAATCCTTACTAACAGTATTTAAATAATTTAAGTGTTGTGATGGCAGGATGTATTCCCAGAGCCCAGCCCAGGCTGAGGATACACAAAATAGGACATAGCTATAGTAGACAATGACAGTGACTCTGAATATTGCTAAACAGAAGTATTCCACAGAGCTGTGGAAACACAAAGTTGCTAAGGAGTCTTAACTGGGTATGGTAAGTCAGAAAAGAGTTTCTACTGGGGAATAAGGCTTACCTGGAGATTTGCCAAATTTTGATGTCTTGGAAGAGACTCCATGCAAAGGGAAAGAGGAAACATGAGACCCCACAGTAAAAGCTCTAGAAAGACAAGAAGGTATAGTTAAAAAAAAAAAAAAAAAAAAGGTTCAGCAGTGAGTATTAGAAAGACTTGTCCTGTCTTGCGTATGAAAGACTCATTTGTAATTTTGCCAGTATCTCTTTCAGTTATTTGGGTTAAATAAGGATACAGAATATATTAAAATGTTGATCTAAAAGGAAACCCCATCTTCAGAGTAAATTAAAAAATAATCATAACACATGATAAAACACCCTTTAGACTTTTTCTTTTGGGGGGTGTAATCCTAGATCTCAAAGCCTAGAACAAATGGTAGACACTGTAGTCAACCCACTTAAATAAACATGAAGAAACAGAAAGCTCAAGAGTTTAAATAACCTGCTAAGGCTTCTCCTTCACAGTTTGCTGGAGAGATGGAATGGCAGTCCCTTAAAAGTAGAATTTGTATGAGAATCTTTGAATGATTATCACATTTAATGTTTAGTTTGTACAAACCATGTTTTAAAACTGATGTTTTTCTCTGTACTTAAGTCTAAAAATAATTCATTCATTTTGGTCCCTTAATGTTTAGAAAGCTATTTAGCTACTTTTTTTGTTAGGAGCTATTTTTATGGTGTTAACATTTTTAGATATACTTTACTTCTTATTTTCTGCATTTAAATTCTTCAGTTTATTTACTCTCCACTCCCCCCACCAGGAGATTTCATCCTTCTAGAACTTCTTATGAATTCAGGTCTTCTAATATGTCCTAAATGCTTGGGTGTCAGGAACTAAGCAGGTAGTTATTGCTATGGTTAAGCTGCAGATAATTCTTTTTAAATGAGGTATTAATAGGCTTTCATTGGAAGCAGGGGTTCAAGTTTTCATTCGTTTTTTAAGTTCCTTTAAAATAAATCACCTTAAATTAATGAAAAAATGCTAATCCTTTTAGACTTTAAAAAAAATATTTAAAAAAAAAAAAAAAAAACTCCCTGCTTGAGATGTGTTATTGCCAGCTTTATCTGGGAGAAAAGAATAGTAGTCAAATTATTAACTCCTGCTAACTTATTAACTTCTGTTAGTTAAGTTTAAAACTCCCCTGCTATATTACAAAGTTAAGGGCAAATATTGAAAGCTGATGCCAGAATTATTGGGCAGCTCTTTTACAACTCTCATCACATTTTCTGTGTGTTTGAAATTGAAATAGTTTTTGTTTGTGTTAGTTGAAGAAAAAAGAAAAGGAAGCAGAGTGTAAGGAAGCTCACCTGGGCCTTCAAGCAGACCATTGTCTGTACGACATAATGGATCTTTGTACATGCGTCCTGTTTGGTTTGCAGGGATTTAATTTTAAAGCTGTAAAATTTTCCTTCCACAAGCAATCAAAACTTAAAGGGAAGCATAACCGCAAATGAAAGAACTTGTCATGCACACAGTGAGTGGTGTCAGCAGAATCCTCATAACCTAGAATGCTGACAAGCTTCTAGGCACCCTGGATAATGACGTTCACATCAAAAAAGTTTCAGTCTTACTTCTGTCTAATCGCTGTGTAGCTCAAGCTAAGACTTCTCTTGAATTTTGACCTCATTTACTCAGTAAAAGTGACAGCTAAATATCTCATTGTGTAGAAGAAATGGAATAGGGACATCCCTCCCACCCAGATTTGTTGATATTCACTTGTGGTCCTGGGATTGTTAGCTACTAAGAACAAGCAAAACATGCATGATTTAATTAGTAGTGGAGAAAGTAATGCATGATTTTAAAATTTTCAGGATATTTGTGGAAAAGAATGTTTTCTGTGGAAAGATTCATTGATTGATTCACTGAAAGGAAATTACTTAAATGTTAGTTTTTCAATTTAATGATAACTGGCAGATATTTACTTATATTTTAGATTTAAGAGAGATTACTGACATACACTGAAAGTCATTAGATTGCTAATTCAAATACATCTTATGTAGTAATAGTGATTAGGAAAAAATGCTAAATTTTCAGTTTTTATTTTATATGGGTTGTCTGATTTATTTCAGTATTACTGACCTTCCTGTTTTATAAAAAACCAAGCAGTTTAATAATTATCCAAGAAATCAATATAGGAAGACAGATTACTCTAGAATGCTACACTCAGTGCTTATGGGCTTGTGTTTTATATGGATAGGGTTTTTAACCAATGACAGATCATGAAAATTAAAATTGGCTGGATCTCTTAGTGCTGAGTACCAAATTTAAGTTGAAACTTGGAAGTTGTGAAAATGTTAGAGTAGAAAGTTCCCTGAATATGTTGCTATCCCTCATGGGACCTGTCTCTGTGATACAATAAAAACTCTGTTGAGCTTCACTTAATATAGGTGACTTTACAGAGAAATTTCTGCTATTTGTAAAAATTACTTTTGTATTAGAAAAATAGATTTCATTTCATTTTGAATTAGAAAAATAGAGTCAGTTTAGAAAATGGTCTGTAGCAACCAAAATAAATAAGTAGATTCTGAACGTAGCATAAACTTCTATCTTTCACCAAAATGTTGTCATTTCTCTCAACTAAAAAGATACATGCTACACTTATAATTTATTGCAATTTACTATTGTAACAATATATGTGTTTTGTTTTTGTTCAGTTCTGTTTTAAGACAGCATCTCATTATGTAGCCCACACTGGTCTCAAATTTATGTTCCTCCTGTCTCAGCTTCCCTACTGCTGGGATTACAGGAATGCTTCACCATGCCTGGCCTATAACAATGTTTTAAGATACTTCATTGACCAAACTCCACTTCATTAAGGAAGGCCAGAACTTTTGTTTTCTGTAACAATTTAACTTTAAAGATTTAATAGCTTTTCCTAATTACAATGGGTTTTTAATCTCATAGCAACAAGTTTTAATGGGCTAGAACAGGTATCTACTGACGATAGTCACATTGAATGTCTTTAATAGTTGAACTCAGAGTGCTTTTTTCTTAGTATTCATGAAGCTTTTTTAAGTAAAAGTTTATATACTCTCTGTGAAATAAGTAAATTAGTTATACTATTTTAGGGTCTGCAAGGGAGGAAATAATCAGAAATAACAGTAAGCTTTATTCTCTTTAAAATCTAAGATCCTGACATGATTCTCTTCATATGGGGAGAGGACATATATTAAGAAAGATTGGTTATTTTAGATGCTTAATATAGTTATATTTAATTAGTTTTGCCACTTGGTAGTACTAATGATGTTACAAATGACATTTGCTTTTCATGATCAGCCAATTGCTTGTTAGCTTTCAAGAGTTTTTATCAAGGATTTTTCTCAGTATCAATTTATTTCATAAACATGTAATTCACTTTAAGACTATGTTTTTATGCAAAAGAGGGAATTCTTTCATTTCTGAAAAAGCCCAGTGTTGGGGGTTAAGACTAATCCTTTCCTTATAGAACTATCAGATAAAAATAAACTTTTGCAGTAAGTTCCTTTTGTGTTTCAAGGAGTGTGACCTTACCAGAGTACATCCAAATTCATGTTTCTTAGATCTGTAATACAACACCATTTGTGATTCATTCTTTCTGTGTTCATTCTTCCTGCTTTCTAATGGCAGAGCTAGCAGTCAGAGGTTGTTTCAGGAGCCATAGGAAGGCCACACTGCCTAAATATGCCAGCTGGTTTCTCTTTTCCTTCGGTAGATGCATGGGTGTTGCTACCATCCAAACGTATTTAAGTGAAGTTGAGCGAATAAAATTATTGTACACACCTTGTCCCTTTGTCTTGCAAAGCTAGAGGAGGTTTCAGCCTATTGTTTTATAGAATGGCAAACCAGGCCTAATAAAACACACTTAAATCAACAAATGTTTTAATTTTAGTGCTACAGAAATAAAATAGTAAAACTAAACTACTTTCAAAGGTTTTAAATAAATCAAGTCCCTCTAATACATATAAGTTAGGTTAAAAGGGTTTTGTGGTGATTTTCCACTTTGTAATCCTCTTTCAAGACACACTTACTAATTATCTGCAGATGGATATAGTCTAAGAATGTGCTTTCTAGTATTGATTTTACTGAATAAAGTTAAATTAATACCAGGATAGTAGAATCTGGAGTTAGTTATTATGGTAGGACTTTTGAGTTCTTAGTGATAATAGAATACATTACGCTTCATATGCAAATTATTAGTGAAGAAATAAATAATTGAATATATCTACTTTGCAGATGAAGAAATTGAGATCAAAGAGGTTCAATAAAAATGTTAAGGGGAACAGTTAGTGTAGGACAATTAGATTCCATAAGGCCATGTTCACAAATCTGGTTTGTCAGAATTGGTTCCCAGTGGTCACTAAGCAGGCCAAAAGGCAGTCATTGGACCTTGGTAGAAGACAGGTCCCATGTTCCCAAGTGTGCAAATAAGTAGTTTCATGGGATAGTCCCAAGTGATTCACAGAGGAAGTACTGATTCCACATAAAATTTCCTCTCTCTAGTCCTTAACCATGACTCCAAAATGAACCCACAAGAGAGTTACCAGTGTGCTCAGGAAACAAGGATGGAAAAATCATCCCTCCTTCAGATAACAAAATGCAAGGAATAGTTCAAATGATTTTGTGCAGCACTGTAGATTAAACCAGAGTCTGCATTTAATTTTCTTGGAGCAAAAATATGGGTGACTTACATTTATTTAGTCAGCCATATGAAACAAGATTAAGGAACGTCACATTTAGCAGGAGTGAGGTGTGTTCGTGGGTGTGTGGGTGTGTACATGCATGTATGTGATATGCAGGCACACAGACATATTACAAGTGAACATTGCTATTTTAGTGCTGAAAGGAGGACCCCTGGAGGGCACTTACAGACTGGTTCAGTTTCATTTTCACTGGGGCTCGAATGACGGACAAGGTTCTGAACATACTGTGGATAAAGCAAAGTTCGCTGCAGAGGTAAGATTCGCTGTTTTTCTTTTCAGGGAAAAATGTTTGTAAGTTGCTATTTAATTTCAAAAGCTTAATTTTGTAAATTTAACCCATACCAACTGAACCACTTCTTTTATAATGGAACTTTTCACATTTGCTTCTTATAACCTAACCATGATAATAAAATTAAGGCTTCAAAATGTAATCGTCACCATCATCATGATAATAATAATCTTACAGTTAAGGCCGCAAAACTTTCTCAGTGTCTTCAAGGACAACATTTGCAAAACATAAATTCAAAGGGGAGGAACCTATTTTATTATCATTCTAGAAGTAGACTTAATCCCTTCTCTCCACGCCATCTAGAATTGAAATAGAAATCACTTGCTATTATACCAAATAGTGGACAATTAGAGTGAAAATGAAGGAAGAGTTCTTATTTAAAATTATACACATTTCCACTTTCTTAGTAACCTTTATCTATGAAAAAAAGATCATTGGATAAAGTCTGTTGGCTTTTCCACTGTAACTCATTCATTGTGGCTTGTCTCCCATGACTTTAGCTTCACTTGGTTCACTGGAACACCAAATACGGGGATTTTGGAAAAGCTGCACAACAACCTGATGGACTGGCTGTTTTGGGTATCTTTTTGAAGGTTAGTTGATGGCTTACTTCCTTTTTTCCTGTGTTCAAGAAAGGTGGAGCATACAGAACATTAATCACAGACAGTATATTCTGCAAAAGAGGTGAAGAAATGCCTTTGGCATTGGTTGCATACTATTTCCATGTAAGTATGAAGAGCAGAAAGAGGTAAATTGCAGGTGTCTAGTAGGTGTTGTCTTGTTCTAATTTAACCTTCAGCTATAGTCACTAAAGTGTCATTTTATGATAGACAATGCTAAAATAAGATCAAGTTCTGGAGAGGTCAAGGTCAGTGGTTCCATGTTGCAGAATTTCAGGCAACAGTGGGACCGTACATACACATGGAGCTGCCCTCTAGCCAGCTGCAAGGGGGAGAATAGAGCAGTCTGGTCTAGAGATTGAAAGCCCTGACATCATTTATCAGAGTAGGAGCACAGGGATCTGTGAAGTCATCCAGAGACAGTCGAAAGAGGGAAGGGATAAAACTGCTCTGTATACAGTCCTGAGAAGCTGCAAAATGGATGGCCTTGAAGGTAGTAGGAAGATGCCGACTAATGCCTAAAAAGGAGCACAAGAGTCTAGGATATCAGGAAGGTCAGAGGGCACTGGAGGACTGAAGGAGGAGAGCAGCCTTAGATAAAAGAGAAGACAGTAGTGTAAAATGTCACAAGGAGGTTAGGTAAGGAAAGAACCTGCGCAATTGGAGGTCACTGGGGACATTTAAGATGGTAGTGCCAGGAGAACAATAGAGGCAGGAGCAGAGGCAGTTGAAGATTTGTGACAGGAGGGAAGTCTATGGTGTCACTGTCTCCAAGATAATGATGTATGGTATTAGAAAGTAGACTTTGCCTTACTTTTGGGGGAAATTTTATGATGGTGTTGCCCAAATAAAAACTGCTATACTACTAATTGGATTATATTATTTTGTTTCTTGTGTTTTTTGTAGATTGGCAATGCTTCACAGGGGCTTCAGAAAGTCCTCGATGCACTGGGTTCCATTAAAACAAAGGTAAAATTTAATTTCCTGACACTTCATAAGGGTACCTGTTTTCAATACTCCATTGATTCTTAGGAATTCTGCTTGATCAAACTGGTTGCAGTGGATAATGCCTGTCTATAATCCTAACTACTCTGGAGGATCATCACAGTTGGAGGCCAGCCAGGGCAAAAAGTTAGGGAGACGCTGTCACAATAAGGTTGGGTAGGGTGATTCATACATATATCCCAGCTATGTCAGAGGTATAGGTAGAAGGATGGAGGCCTATGGTCAGCCCTGAGCAAAAAAATAACTAAGCCAAAAAGGGTTGGGGACATGGCTCAAGTGGTTCAACACCTGCCTAGCAAGAGCAAGACCCTGAGTTCAAACTCCATTGCCAAAAGACAAAATCAAATCAAACAAAAAAAAACAAAAAAGAAATTGATCAAAAGGTACAGTTTTATTGACAAGTAGTGTCATAAAGTGTTCATAGTAAGCTCTTGCTTATATATTTAATTAACATTTCATTCTGCTCAAGTTGATACTAATTCTACTATGATTCTAAGACTTGTAGTTATTTAATCTTGCCTTCATACCTAAGAATAGGAGAATCTTATGATTGCGAGGAGGCTGAAAAATCATTCAGTCATCCACACAGCAAATATTTGTTGAGTGCTTACTCTGTGCCAGTTGCGTTGATAATCCAAGACATACAACAAACAAGATGAACAAGGCTCCGCTTCATGGAGAGTTCTTTTCTATGACTTCTTTGAATTCATCCATACGGAGTTGAAATCCTCTGTGTAGCACAGCTGTGTTGAGGTCATCAAGCTGACATGCTACAGTCAGCTTCAGTGATGGTGAACTTATCACCATGGCAGCCCTGGCTATGTAAAGCTCACCCTCAGATTGATGCAGAACCATCTTCTGAATTGCATCCTTTATTCCTACCCTGACCCCCTGGAGTCATATGAACTTGATCCTTCTTTCACTTGACCCTACTGTCTCTCGTGGTCTTTCACTCACCCCCAGGCTAATTTTTTCTGGTTACCTGTCATTATTCTCATGTGACGTAGCTCTATCTCTTTTCAACAGCCTCCTCCTGTAAAAGCTTTCCTGTTTCATCTGTTGATTTCAAAGCATGGTGTCAGAACTGAATGCAGTGCTTTAGTTCTGATCTGGTTGTCAGATACGCCGCAAGACTGTCACTTCATTTTCAAGAGTAGTTCTGTTGCTACAACCTCCAGTTTTGTTTTGGTTTTTTCCAAATCATTTTAGCAGTAGCAGTCCCACCGTAAATACTGAATATGATCAGTTAATGACTTAATGAAAAACATAAGGGATTATTTTAGAAGATAAGATGAAAAATGCACATATGAAAATAATAGTCAGGTTTTTCTTACTCATACTCATACCTGCTAATCTATATTTCCAAGTCAAGTATCTTCTGTTAATTTCTTTTCATTTTTATTTGCCAGTAAGTCTAGAACCTCTGTTTAGACAAGGTTTCCAGCTAGGAGAGAGGAATAGACCTACTTATGTGCAGTCCTGCTCGGTCATGTAACAGTTTCCCCCTGTGTGTTTGCCTGGCAGGGGAAGAGCGCTGACTTCACTAACTTTGAACCTTGTTGCCTCCTTCCTGAATGCTTGGACTATTGGACCTATCCAGGCTCTCTGACCACTCCTCCTCTTCTTGAAAGTGTGACCTGGATTGTGCTCAAGGAACCCATCACCATCAGCAGTGAGCAGGTCAGATTTCTAAGGGGAGCTCTGCTAAGAGATGTGGGGCATTTTGAGGTGGACTTTGGAGTTAGACAGACCTGGGATTTAATCTTTCTCCCACTGCTTCTAGCCACTGCAATCGGTGATTACAACAGTGCTTAGCACATAAGCAACATTTGGTAAATATTTGCTATTAACCGTGCCTTTAGGTAGTTTCTTTAGTCTGGAAATTTGGATGGTCATTGTAAGGATTAAATGAGAAAGGTCTGTCAGTTAATATAAGCTTTTCTGTCACTTATGAGGAAAAAGAGACCAAGAAAAATGAGATTTCACTTACATAAATGTCACTGATAATCCCTAGCCTATGGCTTGCTCACTGATGGCAGTTTACTGCAGTTTTATGTGTATAAGAATGCTTTTCTGAATCCTGACAAAGGTGACAGTCATGTCTTGGAGAAAAAGTATCTATCAAGACTCATTCCAGATGTTAGGTATAGTGGTATACACCTGTAATCCTAGCTTTTTAGGAGGCATAGGTAGGAGGATTGAGTTCTGAGGCCAGCTTGGGTAAAAACATGATACTCTATCTGAAAAATAGCTAAAGCAAAAAAGGACTAGAGTCTTGGCTGAAGTGGAATAGCACCTGCTTAGCAAGAGTAAAGCCCCAAGTTCAAACCTCAGTACCACCAGAAAAAAAAAAAACCAAAAACTCACTTCAGCTTGCATTAGAGACTCAGACCAGGTACTCTTACATTTCCCATAGAATTTATGATTTCAAGTGATTAATGCAGCTTCTAAGTTACTGATGAGTATCCATGAGACAAATTAAATTTCCTGTACTGTCTCTTAACACAGTTGAGATTTGGAAAATGGGTATTTAGGATTCAAAAGAGTTTGGATCTTGATAATTGGAGACAGCAGCCAGAAGTTTGAAGATGTCAATGGTTTAGTAGTGTGTGACAAAACCCTACATGTTTAGACTCATAGAAGTTTAGATCTGCAGTGTGCAAGAGATTGTGTTGTCCATTCTTTCTCATTTCACTGTCTGGAATTGTGTTAATAAACAGAGTGAGGGATAGGAAAATTGAAATGCTGTCCACCCAGCTACCTCATGGCAGAATTGAGTCTGGGAGCAAGGGTTCTTCGGGTGTTCTCCTTTACAGTCTTAACTAATTACAACTAAAGATAATTCAGATCTTTCTTTTGAGGAAATCTATAACTGGAAACTTACTTGTAGTATTTTAAAGTCAACCAAAAAATAAATATGCCTGATTGCTATGTGACCTGAAAAAGTGGCCTTGCACTCATAGCGTTTGAGCAAGCATTTGAAGTAACAGCATAAGGAAAGATTACACTGCCACTTCTCATTTGTAGATGTGGTGCTTGAGTTATGATTTTAAAACATGAAATTTTTTTCTCCCTTCACTGAGAACCATCCAGCTTGGGAGCCAAAGTCTTCCACTGATAGCTATTATGACAAATGGATTTATTGTGTGTGCACACACCCGTACACACAAACATACACATCGGTAAGGGCCATTGAACCTATTCCATTAGTCCTTGTACTCTGAATTTTCCCTTTAATGTACAAATTAATATTAAACTAGAAACGTTAATTGTATATATTGGCAAAATACCAGTAGGAGTATTTTTCATATCATATAACATGGAATCTGAAAGTTGACCCATGCTCAGCTCAGAAAGCCAGAGCTCTGGTTCCTCTTTGTGATTCCCTCTGTTTTGTCCATTGGTGACTTTATTCTTTATGTGGTCGCAAAAACACTTTAGCATCACATGCAGGTACAACCACCTCTAGAGGTGGAAGGAGCAACATTTCCATTGGGTCTTTAGGAAGACAGAAGACTTTCCCTGAAGGCCATTAACAAACCTGTCACATCTCACTAGCTTGCATTGTGCTCCTTGATCACTTCTAACCCAGTCTGCAGCAAGGGAAAGTGATATGCACAGTTAGTTAAAACCCACAGATTTACCTAAAATTTACAAAATATTGGCTTAAGAGGGGAGGACAGATGTCCATTATTGAGAATGTATGGAGGGAATGGATGTTAGATAAGCAATATAAATGGGTCTGCTACATTTTGCTACCTTGATTTTCTATTCTCAGACTATCTCTGATGCAAAAGTCAGTCAAATTGACCAATATGAGATAATAATTTAAGTGGCAGAAGGGAACTATAAGCGACTTATACTAGGTTGGCCAAAAAGTTTGATCTAATTGGACTTTATAAGTAGATCCTTTTTCATATCACTGGCATTCTTTTGTTATGAATCAGCCCTGGATGTCCTTACAGAGTTACCTTCCTTGCAGTGACAATAATTGTGCATATGTTCCAAGGGTTGACTGCCATCAAAGTTGGCTTCATGGGGATAATGGAAGCAATATTGCTACACAAAGAGATCATGTTGAACAGTACTGGTCCATGGGCTTCTATATTACTTCCCAAAACACCCTTCATTTAGATCATGTCTTGCTAAGAGGGGAAAATGACACTTTTCACTAACAACCTCAAACAAATGGGAGACTGAGGCTGCCTGTGTCACTGGAAACCAAACAGCTTTACAGTGGTGTAAAAACCAACCAATTACAAGTGTTTGAAATCCAAGCATGGATAAATACATTCCTGAGCTTCTATATATTTGAGCAGAGATGCCAGCTGATCATTCAGCCTATGGGGTGTGTAGGTTCTGAGTCCTTTATCTAATTGTACACATGTTGTATTTTGTCTTCTCTGGGGCAGAAAATAAAACTTTAATTTGGATCTAGAACAGTTATTATTAGTTATTGTTAGAGATATTAATTTATAGACTTTCAACATTTGATTTTAAGTGAAAACAAGAAAAAAAACAAGATCACTGAATATTTCCTTTAAAATGACCCCAGTAGTTTTCCATACTTTATATATGAATTGATTTCTTATATGAAAATATATATACATAATCTACACATAATTATATATCTACTGGGAATCAGAGTGAGTTTTAGTTATTGATACACGGTACTATGAATATTAGATTGTATTTCATGGTAAGTAAATACTATTGCAAACTTTAATTTTTAATTTAAAATTTTTATTGTGTTTTTCAGATGGGGAAATTCCGTATACTTAACTTCAATGCAGAGGGTGAACCTGAGGAGCTGATGGTGGACAATTGGCGCCCGGCTCAGCCCCTGAAGGGTCGACAAGTCAGAGCTTCCTTCAAATAAGATCCCCTGAGCTGTGTCCGAACAATGAGCCTTCAGGTGTTTCTCTGTAGCTAAGGACAAACCGACCTTGGTGATTTGGACCCTGGCTTCTTTGTATCTGGTCTTCTAGACCCTTCACCTCTCACCTGACGTGCTTCCTAATAAAATGTGAAGAGCGAGACCAAATGTCACATTTGCCAGAAGTGCTTTGTTTGGTTGGTACTTTGCTTACTGTGTAGCCTTTCTGTAGCAGGAATCTGTTGTATGGGGTAAGAATAAACACCTTGACTGTTCACAGCACTCAGAACTGTTTGGCAAAATGCTATTTTTAAAACATAAGAAAATAGAATGACTGAGTGCAAATTCATATTATGAAACAAATTGAGCTAATGAGGGCAAACCAGGTAAAATAGTCATGATTTTATGTGATATAAATCAGATAAAATAAATGTTCATGATTCCAAGATGTTATATTAAAGAAAAACTTTTAAAATTCTTATATATTTGTAGCAAAGTTATCTTAAATATGAATTATGTTGTAACTTAATGACTTTTGAATTCTACAGTTGTAAATGAAATATGATCTATAAAAATTGTTATAGTTGTGATACAGAGTATATTTCCATTCAAATAACATAAGTTAATAAATATTGTTTTTCAGATATATTCTCTAATAAAATTCAGAATTCTATTCTGGATTATTTTATTGTATGTGTGGCAGTGGGCAAGAATGATCAAATGTCTCACAATCTATATCAACTCATTATCAATAATAACTCATCATGATTGACTTACTCATAATTGAAGAAATCTCCTTAAGGAAAAACCTGGAAGTCATTTACTATTGGTCAACCACTGCTTTAAGTGCTTTCTGGGACTTACTCACATATCCTCATGACAATCCCGTGAGGATTAATCCTGCAAGGGAAAGTCAACTGACTGCATTAAACCTAACAGAGTAAGAAGAGTATACATACTTACTACAAGTTCCTTGGAAATCAAGTCCATTTTAGTTAAAAAAGAAACTCAAGTGATACCCAGAGTTAAAAAGGATAATTAGGATCTTAGAATGGTAAATTGTATGTATTACAGATGGAAGAAGAGAGAATAAGTGAATAAAAATCTCCCACACTTATCTCTGATTTGGATTTAGCTCTGTGTCCTGACCACGGAATATTTGGCTAATGAGTTAGTCTGGAATGCCACACTGAACACATAGCTCAGGTTTTACACTTTGTTGGGGATAACAACCCTTTGCTATTTTAGATTTAAAAATTTAAAAGTTCATTTATTCTCTCACTCTTCCCTAAAGCATTCTCCTGAGTTTTACATTGGAGTTTGGTGATTTGCTTTGAATCCCAGGTCTCCCCAACCACTCTGAATATAAACACCGAATGTTGCCCAGGGTGGCAGCTCTTTTATTTGCTACAGCTCATTTCATTTCTTTAAGACCATACTCCTCTCCAGTCCTCTGCCCAGTAGTGACAGGGTGGTTGGAAACTAAACTCTGTCACTTAAGGGCATCTCCATTTAATCTGATTTAAGCATTTTTTTTTTTAAATATAGCTCCCAGTCTCACACTTGCCCACATGGGCAAGTGCCAGTGGGGAGAGCGCCCTGATTCTGCAAGGTAACCCCAAATCCTTGTTGGCCTATGCCATGGAATAGCTGGCTTATACTGGGACAGGGCCCAATCTGCATCTGCTAACATGGGGCTCATTTTATGCAGTCTCTGGCAGTACCTGTAGTTGAAATGATTAACCCTGCCAGTATCTCCAGTTGCAAACTTCCTTGCACGCCTCTCAAGACCCTGGGAAAGGAGTCAGGTGAATGGAAACAGAGTTAATGGGGAAAGCCCATCATGCAGGAAGGATAACACAGGGAAGTCTACCTCTTCTGAGTGAGGTGCCAGTGTTCTTGCCTTGCCTCAACACTCAGATTTGATTAAAGAACTGGAGGAAGACGAGCATTGGCAATTGATGTTGTTGCCACTCTGTTCACAGGGTCAGAAAAGGTAGGTCTGTGTGACCATTTCTCCCTTCTGCCTGTTTCTTTCTGAAAGCAACATTCACTTGGACCTTTCCCAGAACCACAATAGACAAAAACCCAGAAAGAAAAAATGGTTCCACGTCAGGAAAAAGTCTATCAGAAACTATTTCAAAATTAGTATTCACATGATCTTGGATATATGCTGCCACCAAAGACTTCATGAGATTTCTTTAGCCCACTTAGTAAAATCTAGAACAAATCAATTTGTGTTTCTCTTCTCTCTCCTTATTCTTACCTTCCCCATAAATGATAGATAGTTCTTCAGTATGTTTAAGAAAATACCGTGCTATTCACAATAGCCAAGTTATGGAAACAGCCAAGATGCCCCACCACTGACGAATGGATTAAGAAAATGTGGTATCTATACACAATGGAATTTTATGCAGCCATGAAGAAGAACGAAATGTTATCATTCGCTGGTAAATGGATGGAATTGGAGAACATCATTCTGAGTGAGGTTAGCCTGGCTCAAAAAACCAAAAATCGTATGTTCTCTCTCCTATGCGGACATTAGATCAAGGGCAAACACAACAAGGGGATTGGACTATGAGCACATGATAAAAGCGAGAGCACACAAGGGAGGGGTGAGGATAGGTAAGACACCTAAAAAACTAGCTGGCATTTGTTGCCCTTAACACAGAGAAACTAAAGCAGATACCGTAAAGCAACTGAGGCCAATAGGAAAAGGGGAACAGGTACTAGAGAAAAGGTTAGATCAAAAAGAATTAACCTAGAAGGTAACACACACGCACAGGAAATCAATGTGAGTCAATGCCCTGTATAGCTATCCTTATCTCAACCAGCAAAAACCCTTGTTCCTTCCTATTATTGTTTGTACTCTCTCTACAACAAAATTAGAAATAAGGGCAAAATAGTTTCTGCTGGGTATTGGGGGGGAGAGGGAGGGGGCGGAGTGGGTGGTAAGGGAGGGGATGGGAGGAGGGGGGAGAAATGAACCAATCCTTGTATGCACATATGAATAATAAAAGAAAAATGAAAAAAAAAAAGAAAATACCGTGCTATAGTTTGGATCCAGAGTATCCCTCAAAGGCCTAAGTGGTACAGGCTTGTTCCCCAGGGTGGGGATCTTGGAGGGTGATGGAAACTTTAAGATTTGGGGTCTAGTGGGAGATCCTGGGGCATTGAGGGCCAGCCTACGCAGAGAATTATGTCATGTTGGTCTCTTCTAACTTCCCAGATGCCATGAGGTTAACATCTTCCTTTGTCACATGCTCCTGCTATTAGGAACTGTCTTGTCACAGGTCCAAAAGCCATGGGGCCAGCTAACCATGGTCTAAAACCTCCAAAACTGTGAGTTAAAGTAAACTTTTCTTCTTTTTAAATTGATTATCTCAGATATTTTGTTATTGTAACACAAAGCTGAGTAACCCAGGCAGCATCAATATTTTTCACCTAGCATGTTTAGCACTTTGTTTCAGAGAATGAAACAAATGAAAACTCTGAAAGCTCTGATGCAGAAAGGCTTATGTTCCACAAGTAGAAAAATCACACAAGTTCCTTTATGTGTATGAAACCCTGTGGGCAGAGAAGCCCTCAATATTGGTTTGAGACTGCCAAGCAGCAGAGTACCCCATTGTGAAGAACTTGTCTTACTATTAAGAGAAGTCGGGATAGAGGTTTATGAATGAAAAAGGCTGTCATCTTCTTTACCATCCTCTATACTATCCCCTGTTTCACTTATTCACTTCTTACCTGTCTGTTGACCACAGGAATATTTTGCAAAAAAGAAAATGAGATGAATAAGGTGTTAACCAAGATGTGGCACTGATATGAGCTGGATTGAAGGATGGCAAATGCCATGTTTGATCACAATGGTTCTGAAATCAGATTGCCTTCATTTAATGCCTAGCTTTGCATCTCTTAGATGCATGAACTGGGGCCAACTACTTAAGCTCTTTAAACTAACCTCTTTCCTTATCTAAAATGAGGATTATAATACTAGCTAACAAAGATTCTTGTGAGTTAATTAATGTAAAAGACATACCATACTGCTTAGAAAGCACTAAAAAAATCAACTATGATCAGTAAGTCTACAAAAGAATTAAAAATAAAAAGAATGTGTTCAACCCACACCAGGCTGCTGCTTGTAAACAGCAGTGACTTGAGATACCATCTTTCCTCTCTCTCTCCTATTGATGCTCCATTCTTCAATGAGGTTCCAAAAAATCCATGTCTGTCTTGATCATTCTAGGAAATATAATTAAGTATAGGAGTATATAAATACTAGACAAAGAGCAAGAATTTTTGCCATCTGTTTCAAAGTCTAGAAAGCCCTTATGCAACAAGAAAATGAAATCCAAATATTTCCCTATTGCATAGCCTTCTGCAGAATACACTGAAGGGTATATTTAATGTTTTTCTTTTTTTTTTTACTGGCTAAGTAAGCTATTCTCGAGTCCCCCCAAGTGGAACCTCTAAAGAACTATTGCTCTGCTCCCGGGCATCAGGGTATTGGATATAAACTCTGCACTGCTAGAATTCATCCCCCTTTCATTTTTGCTTTGGCTTCTATTTTCAAAAGGGAGGTTATTAAATCTATTTTTATTGCATTTTAAATTATTTTGCTTACAGTTAAATCTGGTGAAATTAGCTGAGAGTCATGTCTCAGCCTTTCTTGATCTAATGTGACATGAAAATATAAATATCAACTTTGAGGAAAGAGAAATTTCATATGCATCATTGTTATCAATCAGAGATTAATAGGTAAGGTATCAGAAATAAAAGAGAATTTATTAATAAAACAAGGAAGTTAGTCAAACAGGAAGACCGGAAATGTAGCCTTTAGAGTCCAACAGAAAGATTTTCTACATGATCTTCAATGGGTTGCTTAATGATTTATGTTGTTCTTTCATGTAAAAAATGGGGATAGTTGATATATTTCAGAGGACATGTGTGAGAAGTAAATAGAATTATGTGTAAAGAGCACCAATGCAATCTGGCTCATAGTAAATGCTCAATAAATGGTTGCTTTTATGAATACAGTACTCTCAATCTTCTTTCCAATTAAATAAAATTAAGGCCATAGCCTTATGTGAGGATCACATCAGCCTCATCTGGCTGACTTGGGTAAAGTAAGACAGTGGTCTAGGTGAGGTTGACCAGGCTGCAGTGCTGTA